TGACTATTACAAATAAAGCTGCTATGAACAGAATTGAGCAAGTGTCCTTGTTGGATGGTGGATCATCTTTTGGGTGTATGCCCAGGAGTGGCATAATTGGGTCTTGAGGTAGAACTATTCCCAATATTCTGAGAAAGTGTCTGTTTGATTTCCAGAGAGATTCTGTATGTTTTCACTCCCATCAGCAATGAAGGAGTGTTCCTCTTGCTCTACAGCCTCACCAGCATGTTCTGGGCAACCAACAGTCACAGAGTAAAAGTTGTTTACAGGCCTGTAAGAAGTGATGGCTAATGCTGCAACTGAGATGCTTAGATAGATCTGTCAAAATCCATGACCTAGGACCACCTTAAACAAGACTTCAAATCTTATACTTCTGCTTCTAGATGGCTACTATTCATATGTCCAGTATAATTAAATTTCTAAGATATTTGGTAAGGCTCAAAAAACATACCATAGCACAACATAACTCAAATTGCAAGCTTATCAGCATGCAGCAACACAATCCATACACACTTTACAGGAGGCTGCAGCCCAATGCACATGTTAACCAGCAAGTGGCAGAGCTAGTTAGCAGCCCAAAGCAAAGGGAGCCCCCTAAGTCTCCCCACTGCCAGCTATTTAATGGTTGCCTTACTGAGGGTAGAATCAACCCACATACATACCTAAAACTGCTTCATGCATTAAGAATTATGATACTACACATAACCAGCAAAGGAGTAAGGGGGAAAAAAAATCATGATCAGGAAGGGTTTGTCTATCTTGTTGATTTTCTCAAAGAACCAGCTCTTGGTTTCATTGATTCTTTGAATTGTTTTATTTGTTTCTAATTGATTGATTTCAGCCCTGAGTTTGATTAATTCCATCCGTCCACTCCACTTTGGTGTGTCTGCTTCTTCTTTTTTTTCCCCTAAGGCTTTTAAGTGAGCCATTAAGTTGCTTGTATGAGATGTTTCGAATTTCTTTTTGAAGGCACTTAGAGCTATTGAACTTTCCTCTTAGCACTGCTTTCATTGTGTCCGATAATTTTGGGTATTTTGTACCTTCATTTTCATTGAATTCTAGGAAGTCTTTAATTTTTTTATTTCTCCCCTGACCCAGCTCTCATTGAGTAGTGAGTTGTTCAGTTTCCATGTGTGTGTGTAGCCTTTTTGCCATTTCTCTTGTTGTTGAGGTCCAGCTTTAGTCCATGATGGTCAGATAGGATACAAGGGATTATTTCAATCATCTTGTATTTGTTGAGGCTTGCTTTGTGACCAACTAAATGGTCTATTTTGGAGAAGGTTCAATAATGTGCTGAGAAGAAGGTAAATTCTTTTGTGTTTGGGCAAAAGGTTTTGTAGATGTCTGTTAGGTCCATTTGATTCATGACCTTGTTAAAGTCATTGTTTCTTTGTTTAATTTCTGTTTTGTTGACTTGTCCTTTGTTGAGAGTGTGGTGTTGAAGTCTCCCATTATTAATGTGTGGGCATCTATGTGTGGTTTAAGATTTTCTAATGTTTCTTTTACAAATGTGGGTGCTCTAGTATTTGGGGCATAGATGTTCAGAATTGTGATGTCTTCTTGGTTGAAGTTTCCTTTGATGATTATAAAGTGGCCTTCCCCATCTCTTTTGATTAATTTTGGTTGAAAATCTATTTTATTAGATATTAGAATGGCTATTCCTGCTTGCTTCTTGGATCCATTTGCTTGGAAGACCATCCTCCAGCCATTTACTCTCAGGTAACGTCTCTCTTTGTGACTTAGGTGTGTTTCTTGTATGCAGCAGATTGTTGGGTCTTGTTTACACATCCATTCTGTGAGTCTGTGTGTTTTTATTGGACAGTTGAGTTCATTGATGTCGAGAAAGATTAATGACAAGTGGCTGTTAGATCCTTTGATTTTGATGTTAGTTGTGGTCATGTGTTTGTGTGCTTGGCTACTTTTAGTTTTGCTGGGTGAAGTTATTTATTTCCTGTGTTTACCTGACAGTAGTTAACTTTCCTGGGTTATATTTTTTTTTCTTCTAATATCTTCTGTAATGCTGGATTTGTGGGTAGGTAATGTTTAAATTTGTTTTTGTTGTTGAATATCTTGTTTTCTCTATCTATGATGACTGAGAGTTTTTCTGGGTATAGTATTCTGGGCTGACATCTGTGTTCTCATAGGGACTGCATGATTTCCACCCAGGCCCTTCTGGCTTTCATAGTCTCTGTAGAGAAGTCAGGTGTAATTCTGATGTGTTTGCCATTATATGTTACTTGGCCTTTTTCCTTTGCAGCTTTTAATATTTTTCTTTGTTCTACATACTTACTGTTTTGATTCTTATGCGGTGGGAGGATTTTCTTTAAAATAATACTCTTTTAAAAGTGATTGTTATTGTTGTTAAATATCGAACACATAAAACTGCAAGTAAAATCCCATTAGAAAAGTGCCTAAAATCTTTGTTAAATTATTAATTTATCATATATCTAGTAGATATTTCTCATTTTTAAGATAAGAGGTGCTAATGGGAGAGGTAGCCAGCCTTGGCTTCTCAGAAAAAAAAATTGAGTAAAGTAGAAGTCACACATATAAAACTAACAGAAGCCTGGTTGATGATGTACATAATTCTACCTATGTGGAGTCAGAAAAATTTAACTAGTATGATTGAAAGGTTGGTTTGAGAGAACAAAGAAAGAAAAGATTGGGTAAATAATTCAAGAAAGATAAAAAATGCAACACAGGCTCACACTGTTAATTGTTTTTAAGTGTATCATGTATAGAATCACAATAGAGATATAATAGAAAATCACTTCATTACCTCTTGTAGAATTAAATAAATGTAAAGCTTGACAGTGATAGATAAATAAATAAATTGCTATTATGTGGTCTAGAGTGATGGCTTAAAAGTAAAGGCACTTGCTGACCACCTAAATATGATCTCTGAGACCCACATGATATTTTGCCCTCTGATATTCCTATGCACACTGTGTTACACATGCCTCTCTGCATATGAAACAAATCAATGTAAAGTAACATAAAAAAGGAAAACTATGAAAAGAATTTACATATATATTTAAATAATATCTGAACGTTGGAGTATAAAAAGTGGTAACATCAACAAAATGACAATATTTCTACCAATCATCATGAAAGAAACCATATTTGAAAAAGTCACTAAAAGATATACAGTAAATTTTCATGCATAAGATTAGTATGTAAAAAAAAAGATAAAACTACCAAGTGCACTCAAATCCTCAAGGAGCTTATTTTATCATTCTACTTGGTAATTGGACCTGGGAAAACAGAGCCTAAAAATGGGGCAGATTCAAGTCTCATGCAATAATCAAATTTATTCAGAGCATTAGACAGTTTGTACTCTAAGGGTTAAAAAAATCACATGAGTAAAGTTCTCATAAGTTCAAACCATACATCATCACAAGAACAGCTTCGTGTGGCAAAAACATATTTTTCCATAGAGGCATGCAAACAAATAGCAATAGCCAGTTATAATGAATATCTAAACTAAACTTTCTTCTATCTGCTACATGTAGGAGGGGCACAAAAGTACATTCCAAGAAAAATTTCTTGTATTTGAAAAAACTGAGGTCACAAGACTTTTGTCTTGTTTTCTTGGAATTTCCTCAGAATCATTCAGAATTTCCCTCACTCAACTCCATTCTTGGACCATGTTCCATCAACAGCTAAAGCTGCAATATAAGATATAAAAATGAAAGCAAAGGTTGCAATAGTAAGAGCCAACAGCTAATGGACTGACAGTCTCATACTTGGTGCTGAAGATATGAACAGAAGCACATTTATTCTGTAGAAAGATCTTTAAGATAGATGCAGAGTATAAACAAAGATACACAAGCACTTAAATCTTTTAAAGAGTTAAACTTATAAGATCAGAACCTTCATGGTGGGGGGAGTTCCCAAACAGAACTAAGGTAGTTAAAAAATTTGTCCAAATGCATTGAAACTCTAGCCATAGCTTTAAATGAAAGAGTACATAATACAATTATAGTCAAAATAATATAAAGTATCTTGGTATAACTTTAACCAAGCAAATAAAAGCCTAGTATAACAAGAACTTCAAGTCAACTTGTCTCTTCAAATTATAGTCATATTCAAGAATTTTTTTTAATTTTTTATTAATTACACTTTATTCATTTTGTATTCCCCCATAAGCCCCTCCCTCCTTCCCTCCCGATCCCACCCTCCCTCCCCTTTCTGCATGCATGCCACTCCCCAAGTCCACTGATAGGGGAGATTCTCCTCTTCTTTCTGATCTTAGTCTATGAGTTCTCATCAAAAGTGGCAGCATTGTCCTCTACTGTGGCCTGGTAAGGCTGCTCCCCCCTCAGGGGGAAGTGATCAACTAGCAGGCCAATCAGATTATGTCAGAAACAGTCCCTCTTCCCATTACTATGTAACCCACTTGGACACTGAACTGCCATGGGCTACACCTGTGCAGGGGTTCCAGGTCATCTCCAAGAAATTTTAAAATAGAGAAGGAATGATTCTGCTGAGAAAAGAGAAAAGAAGATCCAGGGTTTCCATTGCCATGATAAAACACATGATCACAATAACTTGAAGTGGAAAGGGTTTGCTTATCTTACATGTCTCAATCACAGTCTAGCATCAAAGGTAGTCAGGGCAGGACTTAGAAGCAGGAAGCAGGGGGGAGGACTCTTGACTAGCTTGTTTTCTGTGGCTTTCTCAGCCTGCTTTCTTAGACAACCCAGCATGACTAACATATAGTGGCGCTGCCACAATGGCCTGGGCACTCCCATATCACTCACAAGTTAAGAAAATGCTCTATAGACTTGCCTATAGGCCCATCTCGTGGAGGCATTTTTTTTTTCAATTGAGAGTCATTCTTCCCAAATGACTCTAGTTTGTTGTGTCAAGTTGATATAAAATTAACCATCTTTAATCTTTTATTTCCTCCATGACCCAGTGGTCATTGAGTAAAGAGTTGTTCAGTTTCCACGCATTTGTAGGTTTTCTATTATTTCTGTTGTTATTATAGAAGTCCAGTTTTAATTGGCAGCACATATACTGAAATTGGAACGATACAGAGAAGATTAGCATGGCCCCTGGGCAAGGATGACACGCAAATTCACAATGGTCTGATAAAATGAGGCATTATTTCAATTTTCTTGTATCTGTTGAGGTTTGCTTTGTGACTGACTATTGTAGGCTTATATTTTTCAAACAACTACTTAACCGAGTTTACCTCCATTCCAACCTTGAGCTTAAGTAGGAGATTAATAGGGAACTGGGCTATAGATCTCTTATTTTCTACTTCTTGCTGATAAAGGTAAATGAGTTCTTTGGGGATTACCAAACTCAGTCATCAGGATATCAGCAGTCTAGTCAAACAGCAAAGCAGTAGCAGCAACATGAGTCAAAATGATTCAGTAGAAAAGGAGTAATTCAAAAGAAAGAACAGTTCAGTAGAAATGGCTAGCCTCCACCCAAATGGCATGAATCTGCCAAACTGGAAAAACTCTGCCAATGCAGCAGGCCTAGTTCTCTGGAGCGTTTCTTTCTGTGAAGACCAGCGAAGCATCCAAACTGTTGCAAAGCATAGCAATGCAAAAAAGCATGTGGGCTTCTATTTATCCCTTTTCAGAATCCACACAAGGATGTTTTCCAGCTAACAAAACCCATGCACCCTTCACAAGAGGTAATTTTCAGCTGACAAACATCACTAGACTTTTCACAGAGTCTGTTAACTGAAGTGGCTGTTTTCCAAGGGGGTAAAAACTTGAGATCAAAACAAAAAAACATATTCACATGGCATAACTGAGTTTCCAAAGAAACCAGAAACTTCCACTTCAGAATTGGTGGTCAGTTTTGGAGAAGGTTCCATAAGAAAAAAGTATATTCTTTGGTGTTTTGATGGAAGGTTCTATAGATATCTCTTAAGTCCATTTGATTCATAATGTGCTATAATTTCATTATTTCTCTGTTTAATTTCTGCCTTGGTGACCTGTCCATTGGTGAGAGATGGGTGTTGAGGTCTTCTACTATTAATGTGTAGGGTTTGATATATGATTGAGCTTCAGTAATGTTTCTTTTACAAATGTAGATGCCCTTGCATTTGGGTCATATATGTTCAAAATTGAGACATCATCTTGGTGGATTTTTCTTTTGATGCGTATGAAGTGTCCTTTCCCATTGCTTTTGATTAATTTTGGTTGGAAGTCTATTTTATTAGTTATTGGAATAGCTACCACAGCTTGCTTCTTGGGTCTATTTGATTTGCTTTGAAAATCTTTTTCCAGCCCTTTACTCTGAGGTAATGCCTATCTTTATTGCTGAGGTGCATTTCTTGTATGCAATACAATCCTGATTTTGCAACCATTCTATTAGCCTATGTCTTTTTATTGGGGAATTGAGTCCATTGATGTTGAGAGATATTAATGACCAATAATTGTCTATTTCTGTTATATTGATGTTGGTGGTGTTAGTGGTTTTTTTGTGTGTGTTAGTGTTTAGTGTGAACTGAGAGATATTAATCACCAATAACTGTCAATTCTTGTTATTTTGATGTTGGTGGTGTTAGTGTTTTGTGTGTGCATGTGTGTCTGTGTACTTTCCTTGCCCTTTTTATTTTCTGCTATGGAATTATTTATTTCCTGTGTTTTCTTGGATGTAGTTAACCTCCTTGGGTTGGAGTTTTCCTTCTAGTATGTTCTGTAGGGCTAGATTTGTGGATTGATATTGTGAAAAGCAAGCTACAATAATGAGTTGCTTAGCAAGATTTTGCAATAGCAAAATGAGACTCATGAAAATAATCACCTCCCCCGGAGGGTGGAGCAGCCATACCAGGCCACAGAAAAAGTCAGTGCAGCCACTCCTGATGAGACTTAACAGACTAGGATCAGAAGGAAGAAAAAGAAACCCTCCCCTACCAGTGGACTTGGGGAGGGGAGTGTGTGAAGGAGGGGAAGAAAGGGAGGGATTGGGAGGGGAGGAGGGAGGGAACTAGAGGGGGGATACAAAGTAAATAAAGTATAATTAAAAATAAAAAAAGAAAATAACCAATCACCTTCTGACTGGATATAAAGCCTACTCCACAAGATAAATGCATACCTGGGATGGTTACCAGACCAGAGTATGTGGCTAGACAGATATCTTAATTTGAGTTTCTATTTCTGTGATAAAATACCACGACCAAATGAAAACTGGAGAAGAAAGGTTTTGCTTCATCTTATAGCTTGTTGTCCATCATCCAAAAAGTCAGGGAAGGAACCTGGAGACAAGAACTGGAGCATAGATCTTGGAGGAATGTAGCTTACTGTCTTGATCAGCCTGCTTTCTTACAGTAGCCAGAATGACCAGAACAGGGGTAGCACTGAATATCAATCAAGTTGAGGTTGGCCCTCCTACATCAATCATTTATCATGAAGGTGCCCTCCAGACTTGCCTATATACTAATCATGTAGAGGAATTTTCTCATTTCAGATTTCTTCTTCACAGATAATCATAACTGTGTCAGGTTGACATAAAAACGAACCAGCACCACAGGTCATAGTCCCTAGAAGATAACCTACTATAAGTCCATTAATGGGACATAGTACTAAAGGCTCCAGATGACTTCTTATTATACTCATGGACTACTTAAGATCCCACACCTCATGAAGAGAAGCTCCTTCTTACAGTAAGTGGCAACTAACACAGAGATCTACAAATAGTCAAGGTGAATGAAATAGGTGACTGTATAGTGTTCATTCCAAAATGAGACTTTTATATCAAAACACCTTCTCCCAAGAATCAGAGATTATTGTAGATGAGGGGAGTAAAAGAGTGCAAGAGTCGGGGACATTAGACAAGTATAAGGAAACTGTTTTCCAGGCACAATAAAATATCTGCACATATAAACTAACAGTGTTTGATAAAATGTGAACAAGACCTGTACAAGCTGAATCCAGGCAAAAATTTCAGCACAGATGGAACAAAGTTGGCATGAAGTCCCACCTCTCACTTGGTAGCTGTTAGTAACGGAATGCTGCTGAGAGAGGGAGGGTTGGTTTTCTTTAATGGTGTGGCCACCGACAACCAAGACGGTACAAAAGTATATAAGCAACACAAATTGGATTTAATTAACTGAAGATAAAAATAAATGAAGACATATCATTTGGTGGATATGGGAGAGGGGTGGATATAGAATGAGATGGGGATACATAGGATCAAAATACAGTGCATGAAATTCTCAGAGAATTAATAAAATTATTTTTAAATCAAACAAAACAACTCAAAAAACAGGACTATACATTTCAATAAAAAACACTATGTAGCTCAGGCAATGTAAAAATTCAATCACTAATATGTGGGCCTTTAACCTAGCAGAAATTTTTTATTACTAGACATGAGTTGCAGGCAAAATAACACTGGAACTTTACTACCTCTGAGAGCATAAATGGGAGCAAAGTGGAGGTTTGAGCACATCCTTCTAAAAATGAATGTAGCAACTAGGAATGGTTATATTGTATATAAAAAATACTGCACTGTGGTAAAGGGCACATTAATATGTATGACACTCTAGGTTCGGTTCTCAACACACATAACACAATCACAGTCACTGTTAATTCCTCACTAGTCAAAAACGCTATTAGGAAAGTGCAAGAAACAGCATTTATATATAATGTCTCTTTTTATTACAGAAGTTAACACGAAATAAAATAAGATACACAGCATTAGAAATCATTTATACATATGCATGTTTAAAGTTTTGCCTTGATCTAATTGACTGACAAACATCCTGTGGGCTTTCAGGAAGTATTTGGTAAAGCTAAGAAACCTGAAATTTGCAGTCTTACCCTTTTTCACAATACTTTATTAAAATGAAGAAAAATCAGTGTTCTATACATGACTAAGAAGTAAAAGAATTCAAGACAGATTTTTTTTACTTTCATCTACAGTGAACTGAGCATTAAAATTGTTTCATAAAGTTTATGAGCAGAATTATACAACCTAGTAATGAAATGCAAATATCTCTGTTCATTAAGGCTCAACTGTTTCATCAATTTTTCAGACATAGTTCAGTGGGGACTGATAATTATATTGCACTGTGAAAAAATGTTTATAAAGCACCAGTATGAGGCAGCTAGATGTATCCAATTATACCCATATAATTTGATTTCACAAAGTGATTTGATTTTTATTTACTACTTCTTGGACTTCATTTTACTGGACTTAATGAAATTTGGCATATTTTCAAAATGAATTATAATTGACAAAAATATTTAAGTGCACATACAAACAGTTCCTAGGAATCTTATTTTTAATGGTCATTGTGTATATGTATGCAATATAGTTTTCTAAGATTGAGCAAAGAAATATCATCAAACATTTATTGTTCACATAAGACACATATCACACACATGTACACACACACATACATACATGCATAGAGAAAGAGATGAAGGTTGCTTGAACTCTTGGCTATAAAAGGAATAAAATAAGAAACAAACATGTCAAACTCTTAACTTGAAGATGACAGAAATCTATAATTTAAAAACAAATCTGAGAGAATATACTAGAAAATTTCTTGATCCAATGAACACAATAAAGTTTCAGGAAATAAAAGCATTATATAAAAAATCCTCAATACATACCAACATATATTCACAAAGAAAGAGTAATCAATTTAAAAGAACTCTCAAACATTACAAATCTACAAGTACACCTAATGAAGAGAAAGTTCTTTTCAATGAAAACTTCAAGATACTGAAAAATGAAACCAGAGAAGGTACTAGACAATGAAAAGACCTGTTATAATCCTGGAATGACAGAATTAATATTGTAAAAATGGCTATAATACAAAACATAATCTACATATTTAATGCAACTTTCATCAAAATTCTAATGTTATATTTCACAGTTCTAGAGAAAATACAATAATTCATGTGAAACAACAATAACAAAAATAAATATCCAAAATGCTCCTAAAGAATAATAACAATGCTGTAGGTATTACAATACTCACATTCAAATTATTTTATAGAGCTATACTGATAAAGTATAGTCTGGTATTGGTATAAAAACAGGAAAATAGAACAATAGAATGGAGTAGTGGACCAATAAATAAACCAATAAAACAAATTATGCCTACCTAATTCATGAAAAAGTA